ATCTGTCTTGTATAGGACCAAGGTGGGGAGGAGGTTGGTATCTGCCTGGGCAGGGCCGATGACCTGCTCCTCGGGCAAGTGGTTGGCATGCGTGGTGCAGGAGAGGGTCTTTAGACCCATATGGGTACATAGCCACGTGTCGAGTGAGGACAGGGGGTCGCTGTTCGCAGTGGGAGCAGCTCCGAATCGCGCTCTGTAGTTATTTGGGTCGAGGGGGCATGCATACGTGAACAGGTGCAGTAGTTTGTATGCAACCTTGAAGTTCTGGATGGGCATGTCCTTTTGGACTAGCATAGAGCAGTTGAGGCCGACGTTGGACTTGGTGTTGTTGAGGTGGTTGGCAATGGTGGTTCMGCGTTTGTTGGGAAAGAAGACGTCGAACTCACGCAAGACGGAGTCTAGGTTGACGTTGACAAAGTTGCTGTTGTGGACCATTTTGCCGTTCTTCTTGTGGCGTTTCACGTTGTGCATGTCCCTAGTGGTTTTGAGGGGGGCGGGGAGTTTGGAAGCACGGACAGCCCTGTTGAACAGGCTTGCTGGTTGGGTGCCGCCACCGGTTGGTGCGGTGGGTGTACCCGTCGTGGGTTGTTGGGTRCCTAACCCCCCGAACCCGGTGGTGTGGGTGGGGGTGCTAGGTGGGTGCGGGGCAAAACTGCCAAAGGCTGTTGGTTGGGCAGGGAAGGGGCCTTGGCCAGTGTACTGGGCAGTAAAGGGAAATGGACCTGTCTGGGCACTGTTGTTTGGRGAAACGAAAGGGCCGGGGGTCGAAAAGACTTGGGCGGTAGTCTGGAGTGATTGGGCGCTGGAGGCAATGCTCGCAGCACTGATGTTTAGGCTTTCGTGGGCGGAAAGCATGAGCTTGCTGAGTTTGAGGCGGTCCAAGGTGGCGCAGTGGTGCTTGCAGGATTCWGTAGTTTTGACAGCCAAGGCAAGGTCGTTGACTGATTYGGTGAGGAAAGTCACGAGGAATTGCAGTTGGGGGGCGTTCAAATGAGCGGAGTGCGCGYGGTGGAATTGAGCGAACCTCTGGCTGAGTCGCTGCAGTACATTGTAGATGGCGTCTAGATCGGTGGTGATGTGCGACTGCGTTTCTGTTACAGCTGCAGCCCTGCTGTATAGCGAATCATTGGG